TTAATCTTATTTATTAATATTATTATTATTTCTATTTTTATTATTATCATTATTATTTATTGTTTTTATTATTATTGTTGTTGTTGTTGTTATAAATATTATTACTATTTTTTTAATAAAATTATTATTGTTATTACTATTATTATTATTATTATTACTATTATATTTACAAGTATTATTATTATAACTATTTTCATTATTATTATTATTATCATTATTATTACTATTACTATTATATTTGTTATTATTATTTATTATTATTATTATTATTTTTATTTTTATTTTTATTACTATTATTATTATTATTACTATTATTATTATTATTATTATTGCTATTATTATTATTATTACTATTATTATTATAAGTATTATTATTATTGTTATTATTATTATAATTTTAATTACTATTATTATTATTATTAATATTACTATTTTTATTATTATTATTATTACTATTATTCCTATTATTCCTATTATTCCTATTATAACTATTATTATTATTTGTTTTATTATTATTATTATTATTACTATTATTATTATTATTACTATTATTATTATTATTATTGTTATTATTATTACTGTTATTATTATTATTATTATTATTATTATTATTATTACTATTATTTTTATTATTATTACTATTATTATTATAAGTATTATTATTATTGTTTTTATTATTGTTATTAGTATTAGTATTATTATTATTACTACTACTATTTTTGTTATTATTATTATTACTATTATTATTATTATTATTATTATTGTTATTATTATTATTACTATTATTACTATTACTGTTATAAATATTATTATTATTACTATTATAAATATTATTATTATTATTACTATTATTACTACTATTACATTATTACTATTATTATTATTATTATTATTATTTTTTGGTAACTACATTTTATTAATTACCAAGAAAATTCCATACAAACCAAGCAGCTATCACAGCATGCTTCAAACTCAAATAGACTCAACAAACACCTACACTACTAACTATTACTTAAATGTTAAATGACTTACATTATCCTTCAATCTAGAAGGAGTTCTAGCAATAGTTATATAGGCTATCTCTTTAACAAGTTGATCCTCATTTCTACTCTTATGTTCAAAAATTCGACTATTTCTCTCCATCCACAGTGCATAGATGCCTTCAGCCAGTATAATCTTGTACATTTGTGCAACTGATCTCTTCCCTTTACCATGAAGAATGCACCACTTTATAAATTTCTCCCATGTCAGTGGAACATTAGTTTGTTTCTCTATCTAGCTTAGTAGTCTCCCCCATATTCTCCTAGCAAAGTTACACTGTATAAACAAATGTTCTGCATTTTCATCATTATTCTTGCATAACACACATGTCTTCTCTACTTCAACTCCCCATTGAGCCAGTCTGTCCACTGTTACTAGCCTTTGATTCATCATGATCCACATTGTGAAGTAAGTCTTTGGCCTTGCATCATTGTTGAACATAAGACAGTTCCATATTGGCCTTTGTTGTTCTCCCTTCATTTGACTATAAAGTTGTCTGATCACCCCTTTATTCTTCCTTTGCATTTGCTAAACTTGTTCCACATTTTGTTTAGCATTCATAACCTTTTGTATCATCCAACTTGCATTTTTCCTCCTCTGCCATTCTCTTTGTCCTTTTATATAATATGTGTGTATCCATTTAATCCACAGTTTATCTTCCTTGTTAGCTAGATCCCAACACAGTTTAGCAATTGCAGCCCTATTCCACACTTTCATATTGATCAGTCCTATGCCTCCTTCACTTTTAGGACAACACACTTTCTCCCATGCTATCAATGCCTTTTTTGTAACATATCCTACCCCTAACCATAAGTAGCTTCTACATAGTCCTTCAATCAGTTTTATTATCTTTGCAGGAATGATAAATAGTTTAGCACAGTAAGACTGTACTCCAAATAGGACAGTCTTAATCAGTTGAGTTCTTCCAGCATAGGACAATTTTTTTGCTGTCCATGAATTGATTCTTGCCATGATCTTGTCTATGAGGGGAACCACTGTATTATGGTCAACTTCTTTGTTGAGAGAGGCACTCCAAGTATTTGAAAGGTAGTTCCTCCATTGTATAACCAAGCTGATGCATAATTTGCTGTTGTACCTCCATTTGAACTCCACCACAGTATATTTAACTTTTTGTGAGATTTGCCTGCAATCTTGAGGCTTGGGAGAACTCTGAAAAGCATCTTTGCAGCATCTTGATGGACTCCAAATCTCCTCTTGAAACCAGAAGAAGATCATCTGCAAAACATAAATGAGTAATGGCCAACTTGGAGCATTTAGGATGATATTTGAAAGCTTTCTCTTCTTTAAGTCCTTTGAGCAGCCTACTTAGGTATTCCATTGCTATAGCTAACAAAAATGGTGATATAGGATCTCCTTGCCTTAGGCCTTTTGCTGCATCAAACCTTTGAGTAGTTTGTCCATTAACAACAATAGTGTAATTCACTGTTTTCACACAGTGCATCACCCAATGAATAAACATCTCTGGGAATCCCAACCCTCCCATTACATGTTCTAAAAAAGACCACTCAACTGAATCATAGGCTTTCTGTAAATCTATCTTAAGCATGCTTCTAGGAGAGATATTATTCCTAGTATAAGTCTTGACCAACTCATGAGCCAGTATAATGTTATCTGCAATCTTCCTCCCTGGGATAAATCCAGCCTGACTCTCACATATAATATCAGGCATCACATCATGCATTCTTCTTGTTATCACCTTTGAAATGATTTTATAGATCACAGTACAACAAGCAATTGGTCTATACTCTTTCACATTTTTAGGACTTTGAACTTTTGGGATTAAAGACACAAGAGTACAGTTGAAAAGCTTAAACATCTTCCCTGTTGTGAAGAAGTTTTTGACAACTGCAATAACATCTTTCTTAACAATCTTCCAGGTATGTTTAAAGAATAATGCATTATAACCATCTACCCCTGGTGCCTTATCATTACCAATAGACTGCAATGTTGTATAGATCTCATGTTCTGTTACATCTGTACACAATTGAATTCTTTCCTGCCTTGATAACACAGGGCCTCTCTTCATCACCTGAGCATTTATAGCTGGAAGTTTACCTGCTGAAGACCCCATAAGACTTTTATAGAACTTAAAAAACTACTCTTGAATCTCTTGGGGTTCATATAACATCTTTCCATCTAGTGATAGTATACTTCTAATATGCTTCTTCTGATTTCTTTCCTTTATCACTGAACTGAAGTACTTATTGTTTGCATCTCCCAATGTGATCCATCTAGCTCTTACTTTTTGCCTTAAAGCATTTTCTTCTATCATTGACCACTTCTCCAGCTTTATTAGTAACTCCTTTTCTTTATTAAGTAGCTCATTTTGTGCTTCGTTATAAAGCTTCTCTTGAAGATCATCAAGATCACTTCTTGCCTTCTCAATCTTTTGGCCTATGTATTGAAACTCTCTCTTATTCAATTGCCTCAAGACTGGCTGGAGTGCCTTCAACTTATACCATATTCCTTTCATTACTTCACGTCCATATTCCTTCTTCCAGATTGTATCCACCATTTCCATAAGAGATTCATGTTCAATCCAAACATTAAAGAACTTAAAACTCACTCTGATCTGATGACAACTCTGATGAAGTAACAAGTGCATAGGACTATGATCAGACACCCCTGAATTCCCATACTCTATAGTAGCATGACCCCATTTATCCATCCAACAATCATTTCCAAATTATTATTATTATTATAATGATTATTATTATTATTATTATTATTATTATTATTATTATTATTATTATCATTATTATTATCATCATCATAATAATAAAAATAATTATTATTAATATTATCATTATTATCATTAACATCATTATTAACATTATTATTGTTATTATTATAATAATAATTATTATTATTATTTATTATTATTATTATTATTATTATTATTACTATTATTATTATTATTATTACTATTATTATGATAAGTATTATTATTATTGTAATTATTAATATTATTATAATTATTACTGTTGTAATTATTATTATTATTACTACTACCTTTATTATTATTATTATTACTACTACTATTATTACTATTATTCCTATTATTACTTTTATTACTATTATTATTATTACTATAATAAATATTATTATTATTACTATTATAAATATTATTATTATTATTATTATTACTATTATTATTATTATAATTATTATTATTATTATTGTTATTATTATTATTATTATTATTATTATAATTAATTTTATTATTATTATTATTATTATTATGACTATTATTACTATTATTACTATTATTATTAATACTAATAAAATATTATTATTATTATTAGTATTATAAATATTATTATTATTATTATTATTATTATTATTATTATTATTATTACTATTATTACTTTTATTATTATTATTATTATTATTATTATTATTATTGTTATTCTTATTATTATTATTATTATTATTATTATTATTTTTATTATTATTATTACTATTATTACTATTATTATTATTACTATTATTATTATTATTGCTATTATTATTATTATTACTATTATTAGTATTGTTATTATAATGATGATTATTACTATTGTTATTATTGTTGTTGTTGTTGTTCTTGTTCTTGTTATTACTATTATTATTATTACTTATTATATTTATAAGTATT